TCACATTCGCGCGCGGATTTTTTGTCTCTGCACAGTAGTCAGTATTTTGATCATAACTTTGTCTCCCGATCTCCAATTGAGTTGATTCAAAATGCATTAGAAATATAACTAAAAGTAATACAATTTTACTAGAAATAGATTTTTTCCAACTCAAATGTTTATATGCCAAAAATTGGTCGCAATACTTGACTAAAAATCTGGAAAATATATCATGCGATTGGAAGTCAATTTATGGTAATATTCTGATGATATTCCATTCCATTTTTACTTCTAATTGCATCCAATTGACTCCCATCAATTTTTAAAATATCTCTTATGGTCCAATTCAACCATTGGATATTTGCAATTTGGTCCTCAAGTTTGTACTTCGCCATTTTTCGCTTCTTTCTTTCAGTTTACCCTCCAACCATCGAGTTTTACCTAATAAATGAAATATACAAGAAATTAGGTTATAATTGCTTTAAAGAACTATTCAATATCTATATTTTTAGGTCTACAAAAATGTATAAAATACACTTATCAGCAATGCTGGTAGCTATGCACTAATGGAGATAGATTATGGTACTACAAATCAGCAAAAAGGGCAGCCTACGGCATCTCAATGTAGCAATGTAAGCATTCGTTGGCCCATATTAGTAAGGTGGGAGTGCCATGGCACCAATATAGGCACCATGTTGGTACCTATGGCAACTAAGTCAACAACCTATGAAACCCCCTAGGCATTCTTGTACTAGAATTAATGTTGAAAAACATAAGACCAAGACATGATGCATTTGAGGATCATGTAAATCTTTATAATTTTATAAGTATTGCAATACCAGGGACAATAATGGAATTTGTGGATCCAATAATACAACTAGAAAACAACCTTAGAAATAAAATCAATATTAGTTGGTATATTGAGCACTGGAGTGGCTTGTACAAAGGAATTCCTAGAGATCTCATGTCAATTACAAATGTTGTTACTATATTACACAGAATAAGGGCTAGTTTGAAATGATTTTTGAGAAGTTAAAAGGAGTTTTTGAGATTCAAAATATGCTTTTGGATTCATTTGATTAATTTTATAGAAGAGCTTTTAGAGAAAGTAGGCTAAATATAGCTTTCTCTAAAAGCTCTTCCACAAGATAAAACTCTTTTTAGAAATTAGTTTTCAAATGCTAATTAAGGTAATTTCTTAATAGGCTCTTCTATAAAAAATAGAAGCAAAAGCAAAAGTTCAGTCAAATGGACCATAAGAAGCACACGTCTAGCTGAAGGCTTGGGGTAATAGCTTCGGCAATCGCGTAGAGGCGACAACTAGTCGGGAACCAACTGACATGCCTAAATTATTTAGGCCAGCATGGGCCTCAGTTCGACTCGGGTCAGACGCGATGCCTTATAAATCATTTTTCTTGTATACAATTTTTTCTTCTTTTTATTAGTATTTGGACTAAACAGCAATGAACAAGATTAATCCACCATATGTTACAATATATAGTAGAGTAATTTACAATCCACTCTAACGAGTGAAAGTCACCGAATTCACAAAGTTTACTGTAAACTACCTCCATTAATTGATTCTATCTCTTTCTAGATATGCTAAAATGCCAGGGATAGTTGTATTTAGATCATCTGCCACCACCCATTGGTAGAATAATATGACCCCTCATGCCATCATATACAGTACCTATACTATTACCCTCACCATTTGCAAAGGTTTTCAATTCCACATAAAGAAGAGATTCCCTCTCTTCTGCATTGGATTTAGTTTATGTCCACGATATCATCTACTTGAACAAAAAAAATCTATAATAAACATGCTCTCCCCAAAACCCAAAGAATTTGCTTTCTCATACGATGGCAAAGTCCTATCATAACATCTGATGATACTTGATTAGTACATTTATGGTTGAGACTAAGACAATACTTGATCATGTTCAAACTCCTAACTTTCATTCTTGATATTAGTTCAATGGCATGTCCTGCACATTGATGAATTCCTTTTGCTCTCGAGTTTAGGCCAATTTTAACTTGATTGTAAACTAGATTCTATGATTGTTGAACGTTTTTAATGTTTGTTAATGTTGTTTTATAGGATTGTTGAAATGGTGAAAGACACGAAAGAGGTCGTCAGTTAAAGCTATTGGCATGGATTGAAAAGAAGTTGTGGATAAAGGGGTGAAAGAGGCAAAACAAAATTGTTGGACGAATAGTGGCCCGGTGTCGAAACAGTGACGCCAAGGCACCACAAAAAAAGTGAGAGAAACACATTTAGAGCACTGCGGTGTTATAGAAAATACAGAGCCTTGGTGCCTGGCTCATTGCATCAGGCACCGCGATGCCGTTGAATAACGCAACTAGGGCGCATTTTTGGCCCATTTGAAGTCCATGAAAAAACCTAATCTCTAGACACATGGGAAGGCACCTATAAATAGAAATTTCTCACACTTTTGGAGGATTCCACACATTGAGAGGCAAGATACACACTTTGAGATTAAAGAGAAGCAATTCAAGGGAAGAAAACAATAAGCAATTCAATGTTTGGAGCATTGAATGGAAGAGAGAGAAGATCTTGGTAGAATATTGATATTTTTTCTTCTACATCATTACTACAAATTTGGTGATATATTCTATGACGATTTATTACTTTCCCTCTTTCCTTATGAATATCTAAATCTCTTATTAGAGCGAATAATATAATCCAATTGGGATCCTTTATGTCTTTTAATTAAAATTCGTGTTCTTTATTTTTTTCATGTGTTGATATTACTATAAATTACTTGATCATTAATTTGATGATTTAGTGAATCCTTTACGAATCGAAATGTGAGTTTAGGCTCTAGACCATATAGTGAAATTCGATAAATTGGTATAACGTGTAGAGATACATATACTAATTAATGCGGTCATAATTGAATTTCTAAAACAAAGAACTCATTTAACTAAATTTGATTTGTATAAAGATATGGAATTAAATTAGTTAAATAGGTTTAATGAGAACTCGAGAGCGGTAAATTAAATACAATAGGAGAATTCAACCAAACACTACGTTAGATTTTCTAAATCTTGATTTAAGATGTAAAGGTGATCAATAGGTAAAATTATTCAACCCTAATATTTGTTCATTATTTAATTTCTAAACCAATCATGTATGCATCCAATTGTTTTCACGTATTTAGATTAAAAATTAAACCATACGAATTTTTATATACTTTCGTCAAATAGTAGTTAGAGAAAAATTGAATTAAGTGCTAAAGTATAATCTTGGTGGGAACGATAATCTGGACTCATAGGCCCATTATATTACTTGTTACGATACGTACACTTGCGGATATAAAATTGATAACACATGTTGCAATGCTTTGAGTGGGACTATGCAAGTGCTATGGCATGCCCATTGTGCTGCCATGCCATGGTGTGCCATGTGATTATGAGTACACAAGGACAGACCTGTACTTTATGTGGCACGCCATAACACCATGTGTTGGAAAGCAATGTAGGTAGCTATGCACTAATGGAGGTCGGTTATGTTGAACAAAATTGATGAAGAATGAAAATAAGTGCTTGTATGTCGTGATTATAATACACAAGGACATACCTGGTCCTTAGGTGGCACGCCACAACACCATGTGTTGGGAAGCAATGTAGGCAGCTATGCACTAATGGAGATTGATTATGTTGCACAAAGTTGATGAAGGATGAAAATAAGAGTTTGAAGACTTTATGGCAAATAGTTTGTAGAAGTAAACAAACCTTAATCCAAGTTTGAATCAAGCAAACAAAATTAAAAAAAAAAAGGAACTAAATAACAAAACTATAAAAACATGGTTTGATATTAGGTTTTGGATGCTATGGAATCAATTTGATATTTGTGATATAATTTCCAACATGAAAACCTTCAATATATATTGAACTACAATTACCATGCATGAAATAGTGTAAAAATCAAGCCAAAGGGTGTGAAACACTTCAAAACGACACCAGAATTCAAACAACCAATGGTTGGATTTTTATTATTATTATTATTCTTATTCTTTTATTGGACGACCGCCTAATATAAAATTGAGCGCCTATCCAATTCAAGAAAATGACCACCGTAATTACAACACAAGACTGGGTGGCCACGCAGGCCATTTTTCGACTTTAATTGTTTTTGTTTTCGCTTGTTTTTCTCATGGTTAACTGCTTTTATCACTTCCAAAATCACTCATCATTGTTAATTTGAACAATATCTAATGGATTATAGCATTGTAAATCTGCAAAGACGATAGCTTACAGCAACTTAATACAGCAATGTAGGCATTCCATGGCCCATAGCAGCAAGGTAGGGGTGCAATATCATCGATATAGGAATCATATGTGTACCCATGGCAGCTAAGTCGACAGCCTACGAAACCCTCGAGGCTATGAAAGGAGGTGAATATAACTATGGTATTCTTGTACTAGAATTAATGTCGACAAACATAAGACCAACAGATGATGCATTTGAAGATCATGGAAATCTGCATAATTATGTAAGTATTGCAATACCAGGCAGAGCAATGGAAATAGTGGATCCAATAATGCAACTAGAAAACAACTCTGTTAATAAGATCGCATGTTGATCACAAATGTTGTTATTATACTATACATAATAAGGGCTAGATTTAAACGATTTTTGAGAAGTGAAAATGAGCTTTTAAGATCTAAAAACAGTCTCATTTGATTAAAATATTATATAAGAGTTTTTAGGGAAAGCAGACCCAATATAGTTTCCTCTAAAAGGTTTTTTGCAAGATAAAATTCTTTTAAAAATTAGGTTTCAAACACTAATTAAGATAATTTCCAATAAGCTATTCTATAAAAATAGAAGCAAAAGCAAATGTTTAGCCAAATGGGCCCTAAGAAGTGCATGTCTAGCTAGAGGCTTGAGGTAACAGCTTCGCTGCTTCGGCAATCACGTAGAGGTGACTACCAGCTCGGAATCAACTGACATGCCTAAAATTCTCTAGGACTAGACCTGGGTCCAACTCGGTGCCTTATAAAATGTTTTTCTTGGATACAATTTTTTCTTCTTTTTATTAGTATGTTGGACTAAATAGTAATGGACAAGAGTAATCCAACATATATTACAACATTTAATAGAATAATTTACAATCCACTTCAACGAATGAAAATCATTGAATCACAAAGTTTGTTATAAACCACTTCCATTAATTGATTCTGTCTCTTCCTGGATATCCCAATGGTAGTTGTCTTTAGATCATCTGCCACCACCCATTGGTAGAATAATATGATCCCTCATGCTGTCATATACAGTACCTGAACTATTGTCCTCACCATTTGCAAAGGTTTTCAATTCCATAGAAAGAAGAGATTCCATCTCTTCTGCGTCGGATTCAGTTTGTACCCATAAGTGTTTTCCTGACAGTCTCAGACTTTCAAGTTCCATAGCTACTTCCTTCATACTAGGTCTATCATCTCCTCTAACGTATAAACACCTTTTTGCGAGCATAGCAACTGATATTAACTATTCACTGTTTCCTTCACACACAATATTATCATCAAGAACTTGGAATAAGTATCCTTGTTTCAATGTTAAAAGAAAATAGCTGGCTAAATTTCTCTTCTCCCCTGGTCCATCATAACTTAATGCCTTTTTTCCTGTTAGTAGCCCTACAAGGACTACTCCAAACCTATAAACATCACTTTTCTCAGTTAATTGGTTTGTTTGTAAGTATTCAGGGTCTAAGTATCCAAAGGTTCCTTGCACCATAGTAGATAATTGAGTTTTATTCATAGGAACCAATCTTGATGCTCCAAAATCTGAGACCTTTGCTGTGAAATTAGCATCTAAGAGAATATTAGCCAATTTGATGTCTCAGTGTATGATTGGAAGAGAAGCAGTAGAGTGCAAATATGTAAGAACTCCAGCACCTTCTGCAGCTATTGTTAAGCGTTTGTCCCAAGAAAGAATGCGTGCCTTTGTTTTGTTCTTTATGTGCTCAAAAAGAGTACCATTGTTGATGAACTCGTAAACTAGGAGAGGAACCTATGACTCTAAAAAACAACCAAGGAGCCTAACAACATTTTGTGGTTGATTTGGGAAAGAACAATCACCTCATTGATAAATTGGTCAATTTGGTTTGGATCAACTTGTTTGGACTTCTTAATGGCAACTATTCGATTATCTGATAAGAAGCCTTTATACACTGTTCCAAATCCTCCTTGACCAATAATCCTACTGTTATGGAAATTGTTTGTTGCCTTCTTTAGCTCAGTGGATGTGAATATTTTTGCTGTATTTGTTGACTTCTCTCTTTTAATGAGTTGTTCTTGCAACAATAACACACCATTTTGAAGAAAGAATTTTCACTTCATCATGACCAACTTTTTTCAATTGAGTTCCAAGTATAAACAACAGCCAGCAAGCAGAATAACACCGACTCCTGTAGCGATTCCTGTTATTAAGATTTTTACGGGGCCAAAATGGATATAGGTTAGCTTCTTTCCCCTACTTTTCATTAAACAAATAGGCCAAAAATTATTTTTTGGAAATATGAGAGATATTTAAGGTTGGGAGGGCCTATTCCTGCGATTCTATGGCAGGGATAAAAAAGAAGAAGGTGGAAATAGAAGAGGAAAGGTTAAGACGTCTGCATGGAAGTTGTACTAACCTGCAACAAGTTTGAAGACGAGCGATTGATCATTGCGAATGCAACCTATGCCATTTTTTTCCCATCACCATGATGACCTTTCGGGCAAACACATCTATAACTCCCCAATATGTTCTCACATTTATGTTCACAATCGTTGAGACTTGGATCTTGACATTCATCAGTATCTGCATAACAAAAATATTAATAATAAAAAAGAAAATGAAGTTAAAATTCATCCCCCATTTGGCCCCCATTAAAACACATTATTTGTCAATTTCTCACACTAATGCGGGCCCCATGTGTCATAAAGTTAGACAGTGCAATAGAATTCAAACGAAGGGTAACTGTTGGTCACAGTACTAAATGACAAAACTACCCTCCCAACCACTCCCCTCAATCGGTCATCTAGTTTTGATATTGGAGGGTGGTTTCGTCCATTGGTACCAACAATCCTTTTGAAAAAATGTGGCACATTGCAAATGATCAGGAAGGCAGCAGCATGGACCCCACTTGGGTAAAAAAAGGGGTTGAAAAGTGGCTGAAAAAAAATAAAGTGCTTTAATGGAGGCCAAATAAACGCTCATTAAATTGTAAAAAAAACGCTAGGCAATTCAATGAGAGAGTGGTATGTATGACTTCAAAATAATGTTGGAAAAAATTAAATATAGTCATACCTTTGCAACCATGATAGAGGTATGGGGATTTCCTTGATAACCCTCCTGGCAAAAACAACGATATCCATAACCATTAGCAGGTTCATAACACTTAGAATGTACACGTTTACATGCATAACTAGAAATGTTATTTCGAGCCTCCTCACAAGTTCCGTCTCCAACTGCCCAGTCAACCACCATAGGAAGCATTTCTACATTCCTTAGGCGGGAAAGATCACTTGTGGAAAAATTGAATGCACTTTCCTCAGCTCGAAAACCATAGCTGCAATTGTTGAAGTCCCACACATTTGTGAAATTATTAAAGCTATGCAATGTCACCTCAACTTCCCACACATGTTTCGGGATAGACATATGGCAATAGCCTAAACCAGAACATGAGCCATTGACCAAATCATCATTGTTGTCACACGTGGAACTATACCCTGTCTCGTAATTCCGATTCTCCCGAGAACCAAATAAATAAGCATAAGTATCACAACCAATGACGGTGAACTTATTGGCAGTATTATTGACCATGAAGCCTCTGGACACTGTTATCCAGGGATCTTGATATAACACTCTAGTGCCATTCCGAGAATAATAGTCTTTTGCTATGAATTGCAAGACACGCATTTGGCCTTCCTGAGATATATTTGTGATTTGGATGGTTGAGTTTGTCAAGAATGGTTTTGGAGGATCATAGTGGGTGTCATTACAAGTGACTAAGAATGTTTCGTTAAAGTAACAGCCTTCCCTAGCGCTGAAAGGGAAGGGAATACTTACATTTCCACAATGATCCATACAGTTTTTTTTTTTATATTGGGAAATTTACATCTAAGATAGAAATTGATATTGATATTGAGATAAATATAAGCAAAATTGTCGGAATGAATTGAGAATGCAATCCCATAGTGACCTGTGATTATAATTTTCTTCTATGCTATATTTGTAATTTTACGTGGTAGCAGAATTGGAGCTTCAAGAATGAATAAAACAAATTCCAATAAGAATGATTTTATAACTTTGGAAAGTCTCCTCTAAGTCATTATTTAATCATGTAAAATGTCAACTTTCAAGTTGGTGGAAGATCACTTTCCATATGTCAGATATTTCCTTTGAAAGGGTCAAATTATTAGTGTAAAACTTTGATCAATGTCAAAGGCAAGTGGTGATTGAGTTTTGCTACAATGATAGGTTAAAAAATAAGAGAACAAGTGACGCAATATCATTGAACAATTACGAAAAAAATAAATGAGTTATATGATACAACTGACCTTTTCCTGATCTCTAAGTATCGTTAGAGCACTGTGTAATTGACTTTCGATACAACCACTTGCTAATTATAAATGTTTCTTCACACAAATTTTTTACATTAATAAATTGTTTCCTTTCACGTATAAGATGAAATCGTTCAACATGATATTAGTAGTAAGTTCGGATCTCATCATCAACTATTTACTCAAAATTGCACGCGTGTCATAGTTTTGATAGGAAGAAACATACACAAGAGGTGTCTTGAAGACGAGAATTAAATGAATTCATATGACCCCGATTCTAACAAAAGACTCTCCTATCCTGATTTCAAACTTCTTCTCAACTTAATTGCAACGAAGCACCCATATCTCTAATACATGATATCACTAAACAAGCTTAACCAAACACTTATATGAAATCAAGAAACCAGTTCATCTTCAAGATAACAAAGATTCCGCTAAAGAGCAAACTACAATCCGCAAAAATTTACACCTGCTGTACATCTCTAAAGGTGGATAGCTGACCAGTTAACATCTTTTTACATGCAAATGAACTTAACTCAATGTTTTTAATGCGTCAGATGCATAAATCTCTATGGGCAATGACGTGCAAGAAGTTTGGCTAGTTAGGCATACAAGATATATGTAGCTCAAAATCCAAAGATTTGAGGGCCGATTATGGGAAATGCTATTCACTGGGTAACCACATATTATTATTGAGGCATTACGACAAGAGGTTGATCACTCTTTGCAGCGTCTTCTCCAACTTCTGAAGCAGAAGCTTCTTTCTTTTTCTTCACAAATTCAAAAAACTCTGCAACTTGGAGAGTATTCCTTCATAAGCAAAATTTATAATTTGGGCTTCATCTTTCCTTGCACGTTGTAACGTTTTGAGAGAGAAAAAAAAGTTAGATAAGGATCAAGAACTGCCAAATAGTATCATATATGACCTCCTTCCTATTGATAAAAGTACTTTCCCTCTCCTGTGTGACTCTTTTGACAAATACATATAATTTTCATTAGCATAAAATGCATCCAATATATTAAAGTGGTCTGGAACATTCTGCCATTTTTCAACAGGTTCAGGAACAATCCCCACAAGGTCTCTGAGCTTGAGAGTTTCATTAGCAATTTTCGTCTTTCCTATACTGATATTTCCTTCGACACAAACTAGTTCGCCTCTTGTGGGTCGACTTCACATTGTTGTCCTTCAATTGTGCAATCATGGGCTCACTTTTTAATCAAATGGAAATTACATAAAACTGCTACTTAAACTTTTAAATTCAAAGTTCAGGGGTGAAGTATAATTATGCAAAAATCGGGTATTATTAATTCTCCCAATTCAGTTAATAACCCTATTAATTTCATCCAATTTTGAAACCCGATTCTCGTCTCTTCCTTCTCTCTTCTCGGTGACGCATTCAACCACTGCAAAGGCGATGAAGGAAATGTGTTGGTGCTGGTGCCAGCGTAGCCGTGGAGAGGTGAAGCTGCTAGTTTTCATTTTGTTGGTTTGGGTTGTGTTTGAATGGGTCACCGTTTACAGCAGCGTGGCGTTCTGCTGTTCACAGTTGCTGTCGACTTCTTTTCTATTTTTCGATATGCTATTCTCTCTCTATACCCTTCTCCTATTGCCATCATCGTTGAGAAGCACCCGTCACTTGCTGTGAATGTGACTCTCAGTTCTGCAATACACAATGTGCAGCGCACAATCTAAACGCCGCTGTGTGAGCCTGCGAGGCGATAGGCAGGTACGGTCGTTGTAGTAGTTTTGTGTTGTTCTGCAATGGCTTGTGGTATTCTTGTGGCGGTTTTGTCGATGTTTCTTGGTGGTTTTATGGTGTTGCTGAGCGGTTTTGTAGAGGTGTGGCAATGTGAAGTCGGAGTGTGGTGGTGTGGCATCTGGTGGTGGTGTGTTGTGGGCGTGGTGGTGCTCATGATGGTGGTGGCAGGAAACAGTGGTGCTCATATTGGTGAGAAGATGGTGGTTCTGGAGGCGGTGGTACCCAACTATTGTGTGTTGTTGTTTGATGATGTTGGTGATGTGTTGTGGACGTGGTGGTGCTCATGTTGGTGAGATGATGGTGGTTCTAGAGGCCGTGGTGCCCAACTATTGTATCTTGTTGTTTGATGATGGTGGTGGTAGTGGTGGTGGTGGTGACGAGGGTGGGGTGTCTGTGACCAATTATTTAGATGCCTATGACGAAAAATTAGTGGTGGATCAGTATGAGGGTTGGATGTTTGATGCATATGACCAATTATTTTGTTATTTGTCACTAAAAAATAATTTGTGACCAACAAACTGTGATTTATGTGACCTATAAATAAAATGTGACTTGTAATTTGAATGATCAACTGAAATAATCTGTGACCTACAAAACTTTTGATTTGTGACCATGAAATAATATTTGATCAATTAATTTGACGATATATGACCTGTAAATAAATTTGTGATCTATAATTATGAATCTGTGATCATTAATCGAACAACTGTGACTTTACTATCTTTATTTAATAAATATTTTTAATTAATTAACTAATAAACCTAATTTTTGCATTTTATAAACTTAAAACCTGATTTTTAAAGTGTCCATACTTAATACATGATTTATGAATTTTTCCCTTTAATCAATTACCAAAGGCTCATAGGGTTGCCCAATAACGTTACCCACAAAGAATAATGGGGGCGGATGTATATAATTTTTCGACATTCAACAAACATTGTCGTGTGTTTATTCAACTAAAAAATATTTAATTTACCAATTATACGTTATTTATTTTCGTTGTCAAATGATTAAAACGATGAATTATAGAACATTAAATATATTATTGGAGTTCTAATATTTGTTGTTAACAAAAGAATAGCTCAATCAAATAAAATTATTTGAAGATCCAGTTTTTCATACATGGTTGCTTTTCATTTTTTCATTTTTATTTTTTGAAAAAAAAAGTTTAGATTTTTAAATAGGATAATTAATTTAATAATAAAATCGATAATATTCTTTAGCATGTTAGTTAATTAATTATGAGATTATATATAAGTTATTTCATACTAATTCGTAAAAAAAAAAAACAAAAAAAACAAAACAAAACAAAACCTTATGCATATGATCAATTTGGTAAAGAAAAAAAGAATTGTTAATTAAGTTATAAAAAAAAAAAACTATGGATTCATTTTCACCTTTTGCAAAGGTTAGGGACCCAAGTGTGAGTTTGTCTAATTAAAATTAAGGACACATTGGTCTGTCCCGAGAAGCGTACGTTAGAGACAATTTGCACACCGAATTCAAATGTTTGGGACCAAATTCACGAAAAGAAGGTGAAGAAAGTGGGATAAACCTTTATATATATATATATATATATATATATATATAATGAAAAGATAATGTTGTAAATAAAAAAATATTCTCAATCACTTCTGTTAGGTTTCTATTGTATTGACCATTTTTCAGATAAAAGGATTAATACAAAAAAGTTGTAAAAGTCAATGATTCTTTTGGATTTGATAGTATAATCATTGAAAGTGTCCAAGATATCCAAAAAGAACACACATGATCATTGGAATGTAATTAGAAGTCTAAGTCAAAGAGCCGCACAAGTTATGTTTCAATTCTCAGTCGTAACTTGTAATGCATTTTTCGCATAGAAAACATTGGAATTTGGATAAGGCTATTAAAAAAATGGTAGCCGTTTGAGTTAACTTTCCAACGCATTTCGAATTACTTCAATCGGATATCGAAAGAGAAATTTATGATGAAATTACTGACGACCACTCAGTTATGACTCACCTGTTGCTAGCTCCTCGCTTGAGCGACAGGTCCACGACCAAAATTCTGTATATGTAGTATAAAATGCATCCAATATATCAAAGTGGTGTGGACCAACATTCTGCCATTTGTCAACAGGTCAGGAACAATCCTTACAAGGTCTTAGAGGTCGAGAGTTTCATTAGCAATTCTCTTCTTTCCTACACTGATATTTCCTTCAACGCAGACTAATTCGCCTCTTGCGGGCCAGCTTCACATTGTTGTCCTTCAATTGTGCAATCCCGGGCTTACTTTTTAATCAAACCGAATCAAACACCATCCAATTTCACTATGCTTGCCTAATAACATTACCCACAAAGGATAATGGGGTGGATGCATATAACCTTTTGACATTCAACAAATATTGTCGTGTCATTCAACGTAAAAATGCTATAAAATATTTAATTTATGAATTATACGTTATTTCTTTTCTTGGTCAAATGATTAAAAACGATGCATTATAAAATACGAAAAGTACTATTGGAGTTCTAATATTTGTTGTTAATAAGCGAATAGCTCAATTAACGATCCAGTTTACACATGGTTGCTTTTCAATATATATAAATATTTTTGGGTGGTTATTGAAAAAAGAAAAAAAAAGTTTAGATTTTTAAATAGTATAACTATTTAATAATAAATTGATAATTTTCATTAGCATGTTAGTTAATTAATTATGAGATTAAATTTAAATTTTTTTCATACTAATTCGTAGAATATGCATAAAAAAAATAACTTATGTATATTATCAATTTGGTAAAGAAAACAAGACTTATTAATTAAGTTTTTTAAAAAATTAAAGCTATGGATCCATTTTCACCTTTTGCAAAGGTTAGGGACCCGAGTGTAATTTTCTCTAATTAAAATTAAGGACATATTGCTATTTTTAATATAAAACCGA